GGCCCCAAGTGGACAAGGATTTGCCTAAGTGAACCCTTTTGTCCTAGCACTAGAAACAAGTCAGGCATAAACTGTCTTCAAAAGAAAGAGCCAAGGTCCCTTGGGCAGCTTTTGCTGTCCTGTAACACCAAGAATTCTTCATTCTAGGGCACCACCCATGGCTCTTGACTGTGGCAATTGGCATCATCAAAAAGAACATAGTGCAGAATGCTGTTTCCCAACCAGCTGTCCTTGTGTTCTGAGGACGAGAGTCTGGACACATGTGAAGGGCCCACTGGGCAGAAGTGGCCCAGTGCCGTCATTCTTTCCCACCCAACTGCCTTCACAGTTCTGATAACGCCCACAAACAAATGCAGAACGTCATCAGTCTGGTAACTGTTTCAGAAGACGTTAAGGTTTTGCCAAGACAAAGTTCCCAGGTAGACACTTTGAGATGATTTTAAAGCAAGTCTGTTGTAATATTTGCTACTTTCTTATCGCTGGGACAAAGGACACCTACAACTTAGAAGAAGACTGGTTTATTTTGGTTCATGGCTACAGAGGATTCAGTCCATGGTCGGGTGCTCCAAGGAGAAACAGCACAGTGGAAGAAAGGGGTGCAGGAAAGATGCTCACATCATGGCTGTCATGAAGCAGAGAGAAGGGAGAAGGCAGGGAGAAAAACACACATTTCCACACCATGGAAAGTAACCACAAGGGACCGTATACTAAAAGCAGTCAGCCACGAACTCATCAACGATTCACCCACTGATGAGCACAGCACCCCATGACCCTATCTCCTTCCATGCATGTGAAAGTCTTGGGAGATATATCAGATCTAAATCCTAAGACTGGCACATGGAGGAAACCACAGCATGGGTCTTACAAGGAGTCCTATGGCTAAAAACCAAAAAGAAAGATGGAAAGGAGGGAAAATTAGGAAGGAAAGGCAGAGCGAAGGGTGTGATTCTAGAACAAATGATCCATCCACATATCCACCCACCCATCCATCTGTCAGTGCATCCATTCATCCATGCATGCATCCATCCACGCACCCATCCATGCATGCATGCATGCATCCATCCATGTATCCATCTACTCACCCACCCACCTACCCACCCATTCATCCATCCATCGATCCACCCACCCATCCAGCCAGCCAGCCACCCATCCATGGATGAATCCATCCATCCATCCATCCATCCATCCATCCATCCATCCATCCATCAATCCACCCATCCATGCATGAACCATCTATCCATGCATCCATGCATGCATGCATGCATCCATCCAACCATGTATCCACTCATCCATGCATGAATCCATCCATCTACCCATCCATCCATCCATCCATCCATCCATGCATCCATCTATCCACCCACCCATCCACTCATTCACCCATCCATGTATGAATGCATGCATCCACGCATCCAGGCATCCACCCATCC